GGTTTGTTGAGGGGGTCGAGGTGCGCATGCTTGTGGATACCGGCGCGTCCTCGACTATCATTTCCGAGTTAATTTATAACATTTTGCCGCCTCAGTGTCGCGTTTTGGAGCCGGTGGATACTCCGTGTTTCGCCACTAATGGCGGTTCATTGGGGATCATAGGACGGATCTCTATTGCGTTGCGCATCGCCGATGTCCAATTGTCGGGCCATGTGTTGGTTTCCACGGCCCTGGCTGTCTCGTGCCTATTGGGGACTGACTTTCTCGGGAAGATGCCCCTGAAAATTCGGATCAATCAGGGATGTCTGGAATTGCCGTCGAGACGGCGTTTGGCTTTTCTTCCGTCCCTGACTCGCATGAATGTCGCTAATGCCACTGTGCAGGCACTTGCGTGCCGCACTGTAAGGATCCCCACCGGCGCGCAAATGCTAGTGCCTCTGCGTCTGTGAAAACCGCTCGATGCGCGCGCCGTGAGTGAGGGCATTGTGCTTGGGCCCTCGAATAAACTTAGTCGGGGGATGTCGCTGGTTGCGGTGCAGACGCTGGTCTCCCAGGACCAGCCGCCGTTTATACAGGTTCTTAACGCCGGGTCCAATACTACGATCATTCAGGAGGGGTCTGTGATCGCGCACGCGTCCCTGGCGTGTCCGAAGGCAGACGTTGTGGGAAACGTCGGGGTCGGCGTTCGATCTCATGGACCTCCGGTGGTTGATGAGGCATGGATCGACAAACTATGTTTGGAATGCGGCGATTTGTCCGCGGGCCAAATGCGGAAGCTAAGGGTGCTCCTGCGGGAATTTTCCGACATTTTTAGCAAGTTAAAATTTTATATCGGTCAGACGTAGTTATTGAGCCACCTTATTGACACGGGTAATGTCGCCTCCATTCGCCAGATTCCTTATAGCCTGAGTCCGGCTGAGAAGGACCATGTTCGTGCGGCGGTGGATAAAATGTTGGCTGCAGATATCATTTCGCCGTCCAGCAGACGGCAGTCTGCGGTTTTGTGTCGATTTTACAAAACTTAATCAAGTTTCCGCCGCGAATGCCTACCCCCTGCCTCACATGGACTATTCTTTAGACGCTCTGGCAGGCGCGCGATATTTTTCAACCTTTGACCTTTTGTCGGGTTTTTGGCAGTTGCCGCTTGATGAGGCCTCGAGGCCCAAGACGGCTTGTTGGACACCCCAAGGGCTGTTCAAGTTTAACCGACTTCCAATGGGGCTCCATTCCGCGCCTACCACTTTTCAAAGACTGATGGAATTGGTTTTGGCGGGCCTCCATTGGGATTCGTGCCTAATCTACTTAGATGACATCATCGTTTTCGGCTGCACGTTTGATGAGCATTTGGATCGCCTGCGGGCTGTTTTTGTTAAGATGCGCGCGGCCGACTTGAAGTTCAAGCCCCAAAAATGTCATCTGCTCCAAAAATCTGTTCATTACTTGAGCCACATAGTCAGCGAATCGGGTATCGCGACGGACCCCGGGAAAACTGCTTGCGTTCGGACGTGGCCGACCCCCACCTCGGCTACCGAGGTGCGCAGTTTTATCCATTGCTAAACCTCTCCACGCCCTGACGGCCAAGGGCCAGAAATTTCATTGGGGAAAGGTGGAGGAGGCTATGTTCCGCTCCATTCGCGATGGGCTTGTTAACGCCCCTCCCCTGCGTTATGCCGACTTTTCGCTGCCGTTCATTTTGGACATGGATGCCAGTAATACTGGCATTGGTGCCGTGTTATCTCAGATCGTTAATGGCGTGGAGCACGTGGTTTGCGGATGGCAGCAGGGTGCTGTCCCCGGCGGAGCAGCGGTACTGCGTTACGCGTCGGGAACTGTTGGCCATTGTCGTGTTTGTGCAGCAGTATCGACCGTATTTGTATGGGTGGCACTTCGATGTGCGCTCGGACCACGTGGTGCTCCAGTACGCGTTGCGTGTGGACCAGCCCTCGGGTCAATTATTGCGCTGGCTTGATATCCTGCAGGATTTTTCTTTCAATGTCACATATCGTAAGGGTTCTCTTCATTCGAATGCTGATGCCCTCTCGCGATTGCCAGCGTGGGTCGTTGTCGACCGTGCGGCTGGACCTCCCCCTCCCCTCTTGTTGCGTCTGCCACGAACACCATGGAGGGGATGGGCAACATCCCCGTTGCGCGTGATGCTACCTTGGGTCTGGATTTTGAGGTATGGGGACGTCGACAAGTGGAGGATTCGTCCCTCCTTAAGCTGCGCCGGCGTGTCAAGGTGACCGCCGACGGTGAAACACCTCGGGATGTAAACTCGTTTGTGCTGCAGGGAGGATTGCTTACAGTGAGGGAAAAAAAGTATTTGATCCCCTGCTGATTTTGTACATGTGCTCACTGACAAAGAAATGATCAGTCTATAATTTTAATGGTAGGTTTATTTGAACATTGAGAGACAGAATAACAACAAAAAAATCCAGAAAAACGCATGTCAAAAATGTTATAAATTGATTTGCATTTTAATGAGGGAAATAAGTATTTGGCCCCCTCTCAATCAGAAAGATTTCTGGCTCCCAGGTGTCTTTTATACAGGTAACGAGCTGAGATTAGGAGCACACTCTTAAAGGGAGTGCTCCTAATCTCAGCTTGTTACCTGTATTAAAGACACCTGTCCAAAGAAGCAATCAATCAATCAGATTCCAAACTCTCCACCATGGCCAAGACCAAAGAGCTCTCCAAGGGACAAGATTGTAGGCCTACACAAGGCTGTAATGGGCTACAAGACCATTGCCAAGCAGCTTGGTGAGAAGGTGACAACAATTGGTGCGATTATTCGCAAATGGAAGAAACATAAAAGAACTGTCAATCTCCCTCGGCCTGGGGCTCCATGCAAGATCTCACCTCGTGGAGTTGCAATGATCATGAGAACGGTGAGGAATCAGCCCAGAACTACACCAAGAAAACAATTGGTAACACACTACGCCGTGAAGGACTGAAATCCTGCAGCGCCCGCAAGGTGCCCCTGCTCAAGAAAGCACATATATATGCCCGTATGAAGTTTGCCAATGAATATCTGAATGATTCAGAGGACAACTGGGTGAAAGTGTTGTGATCAGATGAGACCAAAATGGAGCTCTTTGGCATCAACTCAACTCGCCGTGTTTGGAGGAGGAGGAATGCTGCCTATGACCCCAAGAACACCACCCCCACCATCAAACATGGAGGTGGAAACATTATGCTTTGGGGGTGTTTTTTTGCTAAGGGGACAGGACAACTTCACCGCATCAAAGGGACGATGGACGGGGCCATGTACCGTCAAATCTTGGGTGAGAACCTCCTTCCCTCAGCCAACGCATTGAAAATGGGTCGTGGATGGGTATTCCAGCTTGACAATGACCCAAAACACACGACCAAGGCAACAAAGGAGTGGCTCAAGAACAAGCACATTAAGGTCCTGGAGTGGCCTAGCCAGTCTCCAGACCTTAATCCCATATAAAATCTGTGGAGGGAGCTGAAGGTTCGAGTTGCCAAATGACTTGGAGAAGATCTGCAAAGAGGAGTGGGACAAAATCCCTCCTGAGATGCGTGCAAAATTGGTGGCCAACTACAAGAAACGTCTTACGTCTGTGATTGCCAACAAGGGTTTTGCCACCAAGTACTAAGTCATGTTTTGCAGAGAGGTCAAATACTTATTTCCCTCATTAAAATGCAAATTAATTTATAACATTTTTGACATGCGTTTTTCTGGATTTTTTTATTGGTATTCTGTCTCTCACTGTTCAAATAAACCTACCATTAAAATTAAAGACTGATCAATTCTTTGTCAGTGGGCAAACGTATAAAATCAGCAGGGGATCAAATACTTATTTCCCTCACTGTATGTATTGGGATGGAGGATTGCGCCGTTATGCTATTGTTGTCCCTACCCCCCTGCGGGGCGAGGTCGTGTGGGCTGTACACAAACGGCTGTTGCACCTTGGAGTGCAGAATACGCTGGCCGCGCTTACATTTTATTTTTATTGGCCGGCCATGGCCTCCGACGTTGAGGATCTTTTGAAAGGCTGCGTGCAATGTGCCTGGCGCAAGCCGCCTGCGAGATCCTGTTGTCCTCCGCTGCAATCCATCCAGGTGTTACGGGTGAATGAGATTGTTGCCCTCGATATTCTTGGGCCGTTTCCCGTTTTGACCCGTGGCAACAAATACTTACTCGTGGGTGTCGAGTATTTCTCGCGCTGGCCTATGGCCTGGCCGCTCCCAAATCAGTCGGCTGTTGCTATCACCGAGGCGTTCCTGAATGGCATGGATAAAGGGACTTCTGTGCGCCTCTTAACGGATCAGGGAAAAAAAATGTATTCCACGCGGCTGCGCGAGGTTTGCGACCTGCTGGGTACAAAGAAGGTACGCACGTCACCGTACCACCCGCAAACAGATGGCATGGTCGAGCGCTTACACCGGACTCTGGTCAGCGAGTCATAGGTTGAATGGGATTTGCATATCCCTGTGGTTCTTGCCAATTATAAGATGACTTCGCACACGTCCACCGGCTACTGTCCCTTCTTTTTGATGTATAGTAGAGAGTATGACCCTCCCATCAATGTCCAGTTGCAGGCCACGCCCACCCCGAAAGTGTCCAAAATTTCCGGTGCTATTTGGTTCACGATGGGTAAACTTTCTGAGCCGCGGGAAGCCGCCAGTGTTAAATCTCGGGCCAGACAGCTGGCCACCGAGCGGCTCAAAGGTGGCCGCGTTTCCCTGTGCGATTGTTCGCCGGGTGATAGGGCCTGGTTGCATTGTCCGCAGGTGCCTGTGGGCACGTCACCTAAATTCTTGCAACCTTGGAGAGGGCCAGTTGATGTTGTTCGGGTCGTGAGGCCCCAATGTGTCCAGGTTCGGTTTGATAAGCGGAGCTGGTTTGTGCATCCCTCTCGCTTGAAACCGTTCATCTCCATATCGCAGGGGCCAGGTTTCGGGTGTGCCCGACGAGCTGGGGCGTGTGCCTGCCGACGCGGGTCCTCAGGATAGTGTCTCTGTTCCGCCCCCAGGCGCCGCGCGACTGATGCCTCGCACGAGGCCGCTCGTGTCGGCCTCGTGTGCTCGGAAGGCTAAGGATCCGACAACCCGGCCTACTGCTCTGCGTGATGAGCTGGCTTCGTCGGGTCGATTTCTTGCTCCCCCCGGCCCTCCCAAGGCGGTCGAGCCCAACCCGTCTGGAGGACCGGCATCACGGACTCGTTAAAAGACTCGATTTGCGTGATCCCGCGCATTGCACACTCCCACACCGTCATGCGCTGTCGCGCTCGCGTGAGTCGTGGCCAGTATTTGGCTGATCCTGCTCACCATCGAGCTCACGAGCGTTGTTACACATTGTGGGTGGGAGATGTTGATTGTGGGGATTTCGTGTGCCGCGGTTGTCGGTTCGACCGTTTGTTAATGTGTTTTGTTGTTATGTGTATATATTGTACAGTTGGGTTGGGTTATTTATTATTTCCTTGTTATGTTGTTGGAGCACACTTGTTGGTTGTTCTGTTAGTTACGTCGATTGCTTGCTTTGGGGGGAGTTAGCAGCCGGGACGGCTGGAAGCTATGTAGGGTGGGGTGATGTAGTGACTCTACTTGTCACTCTATGGTGCCGGGCTTGCGAAGTCACGGCCCGTAACGTTGTCATTACAGGCAGCCCGGGTTATGGGCTGCAGTACCAAATCTAGCGGTGGTTGGGTGAGCGCTGATTAGTGCGGAGGCACCGCGAGCAGTGTGCGGTGTCGGCTTCCAGTGAAGGAGCGAGAGGGAGCGTCAGCCAGCCAGGGTTAGTCTGAGGCATGACACTCTGGCTCACCTGTTGTCACGTGACCGGACGATACTGGAGGGGGGCCACCGGTGGACGGTGGCCGAGGGGCGGTCACGTGGTTCTGAGGGGCTCTCGGGAACATTGTAGAAGGAGCTCGAGAACCTGGAAGGTGGGCGGGGCTGAGGGCTGTTGGATATGCGCCTTTTTCCAAAATTAATATCAACAAGAAATTTGCCGATACATATATTTTTTTGGAGAAATACTGAATGAAAACACACAAGCGCACAAAAAAAACTGCAAAACACCAGGTGTTAATAAGTAATGAGAACTGAAGGAGGGCCAGGATTGCGGAATTATCACAACCTTGCTCGAGGGAGAGATAAGGCCTAATGAATGACACACACGTCACCCGTGCAGGCAGAGACTGAGAGAGACAGCGAGAGTTTGCGTTAGCCACAGACATAGTTAAGTCAAAAAGCTCAACCATTTATCCTGCATTGCTTTTAAAGTAACGTTAAAGTTCGAAATTCAACAACAGGAGTAGGCTAAAATTATCGATCCTCGCGGTCGCTCCAATTGGAGATCAGGTTACGAGCTACATCAATGAACCATTGCCCATTTGCTAATCCAATACTGAATGTTAATTCATCTTTAATAAGTTTCTGTACAACCTGACCGAAGCGTATGACAAACACAGAATTTTTACTAAAGTAAAAATGAATTATCTAACCTCAGGACATAAGGAATAATAGGGCAGTGTTGACTCAAGGGCAATGGAAGAGAAGCAGAGGCGCCTTTGTCTAAATCGTAGCATGAGAGAGAGGACAGACGCCAAGCAATTATTTCAGCACCTGCGTTCACAAGGCTGGGAAAACGTAGATAACGATCCCCCACCGCAGCTAGGATAACACACCGCACGGGCAAGCCGAGAGGAGGGAGCAGAGAGAGAGATGCCTTGAAATTCCTTGCTAACGAAGGTGTGAAGCAAAACTCAGTCGAACAGGTTTTGAGTTAAAGAAATCGCAATACATTCATACATAACATTAATGTTAACGCTATTCACCGTAAACTCTATTACGCTTACACAAACACTCTAACTGAGATATAAACTAAGGGACCTTACATTAAAACACTCTAATTGAGATCTAAACTTGGGGACCTTACATAAACACTAATACATACTCAATAAATGTCAAAGCGAGAATAATTGTATTATACTGATCGATAATACGAAGTTAGACAACGAAGCCGAATTGACACTAGCATAATTGCATACGATTAATTGCATTATCCCGATTGATAACCGACCCTCGTCAACGAGGCGGGGTCTGATTATCATAAAGGCTGTCATTAACATAACCACACCCACTCGCATAAATTAATATGATTACCCCTCGAATTAGCATAATTTATATGCATAATTACACAAAACAATTTCAGGGTGAAGCCAGCCCCAGCCCGGGAGCATATAATGAGTGCTCTGTGAGGAGCTCGGGGTTCTTCAAGTGTTGGTGTTGGAAGATTCACGTCGGGGAGAAGAAGCCTCTAGCCACGCGGTCCGGGACCCAGCTTGTGGTCCGAACCGGGATAGCGAACCATGTCTAGTTCTGCCATAGCGTGGTTAGATGAGCATTCGAGACCCGAGCGTAGTTCGTGGTACTTTACGTGTTGGTGTTAATAAATAGTGTTGCTCCCGAGATAACGTCTGCGACTTAGTTGGACTCACTACAATTGTAACATGAGCACATAATTTGTATGTAATTTCCATAATTTGTTTATTATCACATCCACAATTCAAAGCATATACCGTGAGTGTATTAATCAATTTAACTTTTTTAGCCAACATATCATTGCATTCCTAGCATCGATGACCTTGCCCACAACACTAATAACTGCACACGTAAAAGCAACATGCAAGTCTAACATACTCAATGAAGCTTATCCCATTGCCACACTTCATGGTCTCTGAATATAACGATCCACCTAGCTTTTATACCAAAACCGATCTCATCACTCTAGCTCAGCAGTGGCTGTCCTCTCAGGTATGTTCCATCCTTTAGCTGCCACTCCATCGTTAGTCTCGGCAGTTGGCCATCATCCCATATAGCGACTCGTCCTGCCCAAGTAAATGTACGTGCATCCCTCAGTATATGGAACAGATACATTCCTGAAAAGATTTATGTTATTTGTTTACGCGTGTAAGAAACATTCAGCCTTAAGCTGATTTCCAAGAATGACCATGGGTGACCTTTGTGAAAAAAAGATAATTTACACCAGATAAGTAATATTTACAAATACTTTTTTTAAAACACGCTTTAATGAAATTTACCATACGAGTAATGGCAGAACTCCACGACTCCAGGAAGTGGCCCCGAAGCTTGCCATAACGTAAGGGACCATGGCGATTTACAGCCAACATGAGTTGAGCGTGGACAATTAGACCCAAGCCGAAACATAAAAAAAAATATTTTGATTTAAAGTTTCGTGACTGCAGGGATTCATATTCTTGGTTCTTTCGGTAAAGTCACGTAGAAGGGAAACAAATAATAAAAATATAAAACAGATTGTTTAAAAATATATCTTTTTTATGATAAAATATAGTATTGTCATCAGTATAACATACGTATACCAAGTTTGCAGTCAATACGACATTGGGAAGTGGGCTAAAATTGAGTTACAAGATTTGAGGATTCTAGATTTAAAGCTTTCGTGACTGCAAGGATCCATACTCTTTGGTTCTATTCGGTAGTCACGTAGGTAAAAAATAATACAACAAAAATCACGACGTTTTGGCCACAATACAAGCGGCCTTCATCAGGTGAAGGGATCAGGCTGTCTCGAGGACAGCGCTGGAGTGAAACACAGCCACGCTCAGACCGCGACCTTTAAGCTGTGTGCAAGGAAACAAGGTGCCTTGACAAAGGAATTAGCATAAAATTAGCATTTGATTGGCCGACTTAGCAAAGAGATGGTGTACATGCGGGTGCACATGCCGGTTGGCGCGGGGGGCGGGGGGGAGTTTACCTATTGATGGTGTGAAAAGGGAATTTAAGAGCTGCGAAAGTTTGGGGTACCACTACTTGAAAAATATACTGTACCATTGAAAATTAGTTTAATGTTTGGTTCGATTTAGAACATCTTTCCAATGGTTGCTTAATTTGAAACCATCTTCTCGGTTGAAATTGTGTCTGTGTTTGTAGATCTGAATTGCCTCGTGAACAAATCTCTGGTTAGGCACTGCCTCAACAATACCTACTTTACTTGGAATGGCTCCTTCTACAAACAAAATGAGGGTACCCCCATGGGATCCCCCTTGTCACCAGTGATAGCCAGTATTTTAATGGAAAATTTTTAATCAGATGCCATCCAGACTTCCACCCTCAGACCTTCCCTGTGGAAGAGATATGTGGATGACACTTTCGTCATTTGGCCACATGGCCTCCCAGCTCTGAACCTTTTCCTACACCACATCAATTCCAGACATCCCGCCATCAAATTCACCATGGAGGTGGAGAAAGATGGCAAGCTACCATTCTTGGATGTTCTGTTTGAGAGGAGACCTGATGGCTCATTGGGGCATTCTGTCTACAGGAAACCCACCCACGCGGATTCCTACTTGAAGCCTGATTCCCACCACCACCCAGCCCAGAAGAATTCTCTCATCAAAACATTATACCATAGGGCTCATTGCATTTCGGACCAACACCACCTGACCAGTGAATTAAAACATGTACACCTGGCCCTCAAAAGGAATGGATACTCTGACCGTACCATCCGCCAAGCTGTTTCTCCCTCCATACAGAAACAACCACTTGATACTCCGGTCAAAACCATTACACTACCATATATAGCAGGCGTTACTAAAAGGATTTCCAAAATTCTAAACAAACACAAGATCCAGGTCCGGTTCAATACAGTACACAAAATTCGTGATCTGATCCCATCCGTGAAGGATGTCATTCCTGACTTACAGTACCCCGGGGTTTACAAATTGAGTTGTACCTGCGGTGATTTATATATCGGGGAGACAAAGCGACATGTCTCTGACCGAATTCGCGAGCACAAATCAGATTTGAAACACGGTAAAACGAATTCTTCTGCCGTAGCTGATCATTGTTACAATGCTGTGGGTGATCACGATATAATTTTCTCCGATACCAAGGTTCTTTGCAAACCCACGGGTTTTTATCACAGATTTGTTCACGAGGCAATTCAGATCTACAAACACAGACACAATTTCAACCGAGAAGATGGTTTCAAATTAAGCAACCATTGGAAAGATGTTCTAAATCGAACCAAACATTAAACTAATTTTCAATGGTACAGTATATTTTTCAAGTAGTGGTACCCCAAGCTTTCGCAGCTCTTAAATTCCCTTTTCACACCATCAATAGGTAAACTCCCCCCCCCCCCCCCGCGCCAACCGGCATGTGCACCCGCATGTATACCACCTCTATGCTAAGTCGCCCAATCAAATGCTAATTTTTATGCTAATTCCTTTGTCAAGGCACCTTGT